GCCATCCTTAACTCTCCATCTAATGGAACTGAGCAGCCAGAGGAGACATGCCTGACTTGCACTGAGCTGCCTACATGCATTTTCTCAGCTCTTATTTCACATCGGCTTTGTGAGCTGAGGGGAAGAGGGTGAAAGGCAAGGGAAATTTCTTGACACTAACACTAAGCCAAATGCTTATCACAGTGAGAGACCTGCAGCAAAGAAGGGTGTTTTCCACCAGACTAGGGGTGGCAAACTGGAGTGCCCCAAGCACCCAAGCAGCTGACAGCACAGGCAGCCTAGCAGAGCAGATAAGAAACAGACCCTCAGAGCCAGGCTGCTTGGGTCTCAGTCCTGGCTCTGCCATGAGGGAGGTGGGCGACGCTGGGCAAGCTTCTCACACTCTATGAATTTTCCTAATTCATTTACCAGGGTCCGCGAGTGTCCTCAGTTATCATCACAATCACTTATTTACATGGTGTGTTCAAAACTGTAAGATCAAAAAATGGAATACTTAACAATTAAGTTGTAAATTCTCAATGCAGATATTCAGTTTCGATGGTATTAGTAGGTTAAAATGTCCACACTGTGACTTGAATGTCAGGAAAATACAGTAGCTTTCTTCATGTCCTGTATCCACTCTCATCTTATTCTGGAATCCCTGTCTTTGAAGAGGAAAAATATCTGCCAAACAGGCAAACAGTTAAATATGCAGAGTCAGGTAGAAGCTGAAACTCTTATCAGGGCTGTTTCCCCTCTCAGTGGGCTTCCCACCTGCCCTTCCTCTTCGATTCCTGGTTAGCTTCGGGGAGTTTTGTATCTGAGGAGGTAGAGGGAGGGACACAAGCTCCCAGGCTTCCTGTCCTCTGGGTCTAGACCTGACTGACAGAGTGTGTCTGTTACTTCTGTGTCGTGCTGGTGTCACTGCTGAAGCCCTGAGTCGTGCTTACGACCTTCTGTTTTGAGGTGCCCCCTATCTTGTCGTCTCCCCGATCCCTGGCATCGTGGCCTGGGTACTCTCAGCAGCCTCTGCACTTGGCTGCAACATGTCCCCTGCCCTCAGCCTCTGCCCTCAGCCCTTGCCTCTCCCTCCTGCCCCTTTCGCTCTGAGCATAACCCGGGGCTTCTCCGAGGGTCTGCATCCTCCCAGCTTTGGCTCGAGGAGAGTGCTGAGGTCAGCCCTGTCCCCTCTTCCTTGCTGCCCCATGCTCCCCTGCTTTGCCTGAGGCAGACGACAGCAGTGTCTGCACTGTGGCTGTTCTCCCTGCCTGTCCCTTGGCCTGACTCTCCTCTCGCTGTTACCACTTCGAGTAAAACTTTATAGACCTCTGATCTTAGCCCTTATACATAGAGGGCTGCTCTTGGAAATTAGGATTCTCTCTTACTAAAGTTTGATTATTAGGCCCACTATCTTGCTGGAGATTCTGAGCCAGTTTTGTGATTTCAAAGGTGTGCAATGGCTTCATTCCAGAAGGAATCTGCCCTTAACCAGAGGCTCTTAATTCAGTGAGTAGGGGACGCTGCAGGCTACCAGATCAGTTTAATAGAACTATAGGGATCCACTCCTCTCCTTAGTAAACTATTTCGCACCCTAAGACAGGGGTCCCCGACACCCGACACCTGGGCTGTGGACGACTATGCCTGTGGCTTGTTAGGAACCGGGCCTCACAGCGGGAGGTGAGAGGCGGGTGAGTGAGTGAAGCTTCATTTGTATTTGCAGCTGCTCCCTAGAGCTGGCATCACCACCTCAGATCATCGGCATTAGATTCTCATAGGAGCATCCGTCCCTGGTGCCAAAAAGGTTGGAGATGCTGCAATAAAGACATCTCTGCAGCGGCCAACATGATTCCCTTAGAAATCAACACATGAATTATTTGGCATCATTATAAGACAAGCTGCTTGTTGGCCCTATACAAAACTGTATTGTTCTTGGCTGGCAGGGACAAGAAATTATAAATCACAGATTGCTTTGATCCAAATTTACATGTTAAATATCTTATTTCGAAAGGATAACTTAATCTAAGTTCTCATTCCTAACTATGTATATAGGCTGTTGCAGATTTTATCAATCATGTATTTTATATGAAAAGCTATGAACTTTGACTCTTCCACCGCTGATACATTCTGTCAATCTGATGACAAAATCTTTTTTTTTTTTTTAAGTCATTGCTGGAGGATGTGGTATCTATAGTTTCCCTGATGATGTACAACTAGTAGTGTACTATTGCTGTTTTCTCCATGGTACACACTTTTAATTTTGTTTTTGTTGTTATCGTAACTTTAAAAATCTCCAAAAACTAAGATCCAGATTTTTCAAAGGAGCACTAGGCAAATATTATAACATTGTATATCTCAGAGCAATTAATATGTACTTTTGTTTTGTTACATACTGGCAGCTTGTGGTCTTATATGTGACTGTTATACTGAAAAAAAATAAATGCCCCTTAAATCCTATAGATTTGCTTCCTGTAAACCTGGAGTATGGCCCAGGTGGTACCACAGCACACTTGGGAATGAGGGACAGTTAGTGTTCTTGCCTAACTACAGAACCCATAAGGGCTTCCCTTCCTGTGTTTACGTAAGTCTTAGTTTTAACTCGTAAGAGAAACTCACTCAGTGAAGTATACCTCAATCACTCAAACTCTTTCATTATAAATTATACTGTAGCATTTAGCTGTCAGAAGCTTTTAAATTATAAACCCAAGAATAATCTTAACTATTAGGCTTAAAGATTATGTCAATAGTCATTTCCTGTGCATATGAATGTTACTGAAGAAACTCATACTCTCAGGACCAAGATGTCCGTGGGGAGCTCTGGGGAGAGGGACTGAAATCACTTGTCTCTATTTTTATGGTCATTAGAAATTGGGGGCCATTTAAAACAATGTGAGGTCTAAATAAGAATTGATTTTAAACATTCTTATTATCAAATAAGTTCTGAAATCACTCATTTAAAAATCTTTAAATGTATGCTATTATGAGGCATCTTAATTCTTTGCATAGATGGGTATATCATTTGAGTCAATTAAAAAAAAATTAAGTTGTATTTAAGAAAAAAAGGCCTGTGTAAGATTTTCTACTCTGTGCAGCACACCTGTGCCTCTTGCTGGCTGTACAGCCTTGTACTGGACTCATCTTGAAAGGTGGGCTATAACCAAGTGAAAAAAGCGGTGTGCGATGGCAGAAACAGGAGAATCAAAGGAAGAAGGAGGGAAGCAGGAAGCTATTTCCAGATCTTCCTGTCAGAAAGAGAAGGCCAGTTCCACTGCCTCCAGTCAGGCTCTCAGTGTCATGTTCTGGGACACAGAGAGACTGCCTTGAAAAGGAAAAGAGCAGAGCGAGAAAAAAAGCTGCTAATGCTGGGCACGCCTGGCCTGAGAGGTCCAGAGAGTAGTCACACCAGGGCTCAAGAAGGACTGGGCCCGGGCGGTTCTATTTCTCTCTCCCACTAGGCAAGACCAGAAGCTGGACGATGTCTAGAGTGGTGATGCTGGTGAGAATGGCTTAACCCAAGACAGCAACTTCCTATCACCCTACATGATAGTTGCTGGTCTCCCCTTTTCCCCCAACCCATACAAGCCCCACCCAGGCCTATGGCCCCTCTAGGAATACACACTTGGATTACATTCGTGTCCTCCCTTCCCATGTTGAAAGGAAACTGAGCTTTCTGTGAAAATGAATGGTGGGAGATGAGAGCATGTCACTCAAGATCCACCTTTGGTCAAGATTGAAGACATGGGGAATGAGGAGGCAAGAGGGACGGAATAAGAAATACATTCCAGAAAGATGTATAAATCCCACTTCCTTATAGGGGATGCATTGGGGAACAGTCATCTCAGTAAATTTCCTTAGGGCAGTGGTTTCCAACCTTTGTGGCCCCAGGGACCGTTGCTCCTATGAGAATCTAATACCTGATGATCTGAGGGGAAGCTGAGGCAGTGATGCTAGCGCTGGGGAGCGGCTGCAAATACAGATGAAGCTTCCCTCGCACCACTCACCTCCTGCTGTGCGGTCCGGTTCCTAACAGGTACTGGTCCACAGCCCAGAGGTTGAGGACTCCTGCTTTATTGGCTTATTTCCTCAGAATGGCACTCTGATACACTGAGACCTAAAGAAAAAGATTACATACAGGATTACCTATCCCCACTCAAAACAAAACAAAACAAAACAAACAAAAAACCTTACTAGAGCCTGAATACTTTCTCTTTAATCGATAACTGGTTAGTTGCTTTTATGAATATAAAATGAGGCCCTTTGAGAGAAAGAGAAATTACTGAATAATTTAACCTAAAAAGCAATTTCAACTAAAGTAATTACTGTGTATTTCAGTAAGGTCAGTGAGCATTTATTTTCTTATCACACAGCTTCTTCTAAGTTTAAATAAAGTCTCCATGAATAGATCAGACGACCACTGTTAGGGATATCTGCAATTCTGCAGATTGAAGTAGTTTGGTTAAAAAAGCCTTATAAAAATGCAGAGCCACTCTTTGTATTACCCAATAACATGAACACATATCCCTACCTTTATTCTATCCCACGCTGACTTCCACTGGCGGTCTTTTATTTTCCACTTCATTCCTTTTATTATTTTATTTTTTAAAAGGGGTACATATATATTTTTAATATAGCTTTATTGATGTATAGTTGGTGTATGTTAAATGACACTGTATTTTTATAATCAGAAAAAAAAAAACATTTTTAACGTGTTGGGACTCAAACCTCTACAAAGGCATTTCCTTATTCCCCCCAAATTATCTTTATAGAGGAATTTAAATACATGTCACATCCCTGAGAGAGCTGAATGAACTGAGAAATTTAACTGAGGATTTCTCTTGCAGTTTATGGGCTAACGTTATGATCCAAATATACTCCTCCACAGTCTTAACGTATTATATTACTCCATTGAGGACAGCATGGTGAAGGAGCTAACGCCAAGGAGAAAACCACTAGAAAGATTTTCAAATGTACCTTCAGCATTTTTTAAATATCCACAGAGGCAGATGCAAATTTAATGGACTCAATTAATTTTCAAATTAGCACTTTATTTTATTTTAATACCCCATGCACCATGAATCAAAACAGCATGCTCCCTTGAAACTTTGGGTGAAAATATGCAATTTCTCCTCTGAGATTTTCCAATTCAAAAACTGTTAGCATATTTAGCAATTTACTAAAATGCTATGACAGAAATATGCTTCTTTGGCATTAAAACATTTGTAACTGGACAAGAAAAAATAAAAAGTAATACTGTGAAAAGCAAAGCTTAACTATATAACAAGATGATTTAGAGAAGTCTGATAATTCACTAGAAATCATAATTTTTTCCCAATTAAATGCTTTTAAAAACTATAGCCAAATAGATTATTATCAAGAAAGCCATTTTGATTTGCTATCAAATTTAGTATTTACACTTCATTTTCAAGTAACTTTAAAGAAGTTTTGACTTTATTCCTTAAGATAAAAGGTTATTCTTAGCATTTCTGATGCCAATAACTTAAAATAGTGAATGGGTGAATCCATATCTCATTTTACTTTTTATCCCTTTCAATGTTATATGAGTAATATATTCACAGATGTTGAAATATACATTTTTGCTACATATTAATATGTACAAAGCTTTTATGATATACTTTTTAAAGACATGCTTCTGTCACATTACAAAGAGATATTCACATCACAATAAAAGTTAAAAACTGTCAATATGAGCCAAAACATGATCGTGTTCAGCTGAATCAAATGAATGATAGTTGTTGTCCTCGGATGGTCTTTTATTTCATTTCATCGTCAAAAGCTGGTGAGGAGAAAATAAAGTGGTGGTTCAACTGCTGTATTAATTCAACCAAATCTATTAATGCACCTTTCTATTTGCTAATCTTGGATCAGATTCGACAACTTTAAAACTAGGTTTTTGAGAAATAAATGAACTTTATAGTTGGAAAGTGGAATGGTAAAGACTGAGGGGAAAAACAAGAAAGGGAGAAAAAAGGGAATCTAAGTCAGCAAAGACATGACAAAAGAGACAGATGATTTCTTTTTCAGGTGTCTCTATCGCACCCTGTCGTTTTGAGATTCCAAGTGTTCCCTGGCCAACATCTCTACTTCCCGGCCATGACCCCCAAGCTCCTGTTGAAAACTGAAACCACTGGTGCAGTCAGGCAGAACGGCTGCTCCTTGGGCACCTGACCTGCAGTGCAGTGGGAGAGGACCACAGCAGAGGGCCTTCCCTGGTCATAGGTTCAAATCGGGCAGGCTCAAAGTGCTCTGCTCTGGCCTGATGTATCTCAGGATGGTCACTCTGTGTCCTTAGACCCTCTCAAGGTGCAGACCAGTGCCAGAATTCCCAGATTAGACAGGATGTCTCTCATTTCATAACAGCTAAGTAGGTAGATTGTGAACAGCAGCTGAAGAGTGGAGAAGGAGCCTGGCCAGAGCTGTGATTGTGAGCGTCACGGAGGGGCTCAGTTGGGGCCCCAATATGCCACTCTCTCTAGGGTGGCTGCAGCTGTATCTGCTCACCTAGTCCAGGACCTGAAAGAGAGTGGGGTGGAAATGGAGTGACCAGAGAGGAAGGTGACGGAATCTGATGACCAGTGACACTCATCTCTTGTTCACACTGGGTTGCAGGGATTCCCAATGCCTTCCACAATTTGGAAACATAATGAGATATTTAGTAATCCTCTAGGAAGGTGACCAAGCCTGGTCCTATGAAGCAAACCATTTCTGATATTCCAAATGAGTTTTCTAAGAAAAAAAACTAGTTATAGAAGTTACTGCATCATCGTATTACCTCGAGTCTTTTCAGACATATTCAGCTAAAACTGAATAAATGATCTCACACCTTCCAACTGAAATAGATTCTTAGACCAACTTTAAGCATAGACTGGTTTTCATAACAATGTGATACTGGTGTATTACAAACACAAATTTTATTTTCTTAAACTAGAAAGATTATCAATAGAGATTAGCTTCTCAGTTTGTAATGAATATGCTACAGAAATTGTGCATTCTGTAAATATATGTAGGTTTTTGCTTTTGTGTGTCTTCTGCACTATATAGTAGTGACTATCTCTTACACTAAATAGATAAACTGTGTGTCATACAAGACGGATTATTTCATTCCACATTTACTTAGATTAGACAGATGAGTCTGAACATCTAACTATGGATTCATATGTAAACTTTCAGAAATGATGAGTGTTATGTCTGATGTAATAAATATAGAATTATTTCATACTACTTAAAAACAATAGACACTGCTTTCTTCCAGCCCCCATCAGGGAAGAGGCTAAGGCTGTGAGTCTGCTGGAGCACTGCCATGATTTGCTTTTTCTCCAGAGATGGAATGCTTCAGAAACTGACCAGTAGCACCAATGTATAATCTTGATCGCATGGGCCATTTCTGAAAAAGAATAAACAAGAATCCAAAAGTTAGTATCTATGACAGATATAATCTGTAATACTAATAATAAAATTCCAAATACTTCAGTGCAAATGCAATATGATGTAGGTCGTAACAATTGTAATTATGAAGTCTAAGGGACAGCATGAAAAAATGTTTATTAGTGCTAACAATGAAAGAATATACCCAGACTTTGATTATAACTGTATAAAATAATATGTGTGCACGTGGACAAGAAATAATGGAAAATGAATATAGTAGTGTAGGAAAACATATCTACTCACAATGTTTCAGTTCAAACTAAAACCTAAAACAAAAACCTAAAGCAAGATTCCTGGCTTTAAAGATATTTTTAAGTTATATGTGGTAAGTATTATATGTCTATATGTGTCAGAAAACTACAATGAAAAGTGATTAATTCAATTATCTAAACATTTTAGCTAAAAGCAACATCTGGAAGTTGCAAATATTAGAATGTTTGGTGTTATATAAATAGAACATTCAGGTTAAATGTCTGAATGTATTGACATCACATAGCTCTAAACTTTCAGTAATCAACACATTTGTATTCTGATTGTGACTTTTCTAAATTCATCTTTAAAATGAACAACGTCTCAAACTATATAATTTATTGCCCAATAGGCATGATGATGAAAAAATATATTACATAAGTAGCCCTTTTAGAATGGACTTGTCTTTTTTTTGGAGGGGGTTGTCATATAATCCATTTATAGTTCTAAGGTCCTTGGAATATTAAGGATTACATTACCTTTAGTTACCCCAAATGTACGGATGATCACACTAATAATAAAAGATAATTTAATATTTAAGCATTTTGGTAGTGTCTGTAAAATAATGTGTTACAGGTGGTTTCAGTTATGTATATAAAATCTCTTCCCTCAGAACCTGCATAGCACATGGTTATAGCTCTCTTATGGCACATATAATAGTCTCCCTTATGTATTTTTGTCTCCAACTCTATTTAGGACAGGGATTGAGTCATATTCTTATTTGTAGTCACTCTGCTAACAGGGCTTTGCATGTAGTAGGCAGTTAGTAAATGGTTTTAAAACAGACTAGTAACTTGTTCAACAATCACCAATTTCATTAAGAGGTAATCTTTGGCCTTGTTTCATTATCTTTAGCATTTTCTTTTAAAGTCAAAATAATCCAGAGGACAAATCAGATTTAATTTTTCTTAAAAGGGTTATAAGACTACAAAAATATTTGGTATATGAATCAAATGCAAAAAAACTCTTGTTAAGCTTATTGTTACCTGAAAATTATGGTTCTAACATTACTCATTCAAAAAAACATGGCCAAAAACTAAGATGAAAAACAACTTGATTTCTCATCTGAATTATATCTCCCACAAAGAAGCATTTAACAGATGCTTTTTGTATTCAAGTGTACTTAATGTTAAAAAAAAAAATTTCTTAGAGTATGTGGGAAATGTCAAGTTTAAAAAAATCTAATATTAATGGTATATTAGAATAGCATTCTAAGGCACACTTCGATACAAAACCCATTAATAATGACTTTTCAGCTGAGACTGTTATATAATACATGAATGGAACAGAGTCTATCATAATATAAATAAATACTTCACATTTTTATCTTTAATATATGAAATAGTTTGAGTCATCATTTTGATTATATTTTGCAAAGTAAATTTTGTTAAACCTCACCACAAAATTTTAAATTCATTTAATATTAAAGGGTGTAATTTACCACATTTCGATAATGATTATCAATAATTTATTGAACACTGATATACTTAAGGCTACATCCTAATTTTGTATTTGTGTGTGTGTGTGTGTGGCAAAATGCTTCAGAATGGTGGAACCAAAAATTTGAAAATTTAGCTTTAGAAAATATAGAGAAGATAATGCATTTTGAGCAGAAAGCCAGATCAATGTAGGATTTCAAAACAATCAAGTCTAGGAGAAAAAGGCAATGCAGAATCTAAATACTGCAATATAGGTAATAAAATTATAATCCTATATACCATATTAAATGGAAACCCTGATCATTCTACCTATATGTATAGAAAACAGATTCTCTTGCCTAATTTTGTACATTACAGAATTTGAATATAGTATTTAATCAGCTCAACATATATGCCAAACTATTATAAAAATTACATAAACACATTGTAGTTTTTCTAACACTCTTGGTAGCTGTCTGGTCCATAACAGTTAACCTTTATTACAACGGACTGAAAATTCACTCTGTGAGGATTCAGAACAGTATTGTTCTCACCAGTTTTACAATAAATTTTCAACATTGGTTTCCTAGGGACGGGTAATTCCATTACCCCATATTTCATGAATATTTAATTCATGAAACTTTTCAAACATCTGATAAAAACCACAATGTAACTATGTAAATTAAAAACACTTAAAAACTCGAAGACTCATAAATGTAACTCTGATACTAAAAATTACCAAGCACCTTACCAGGCACCCCTCCAGAAACCGCTCGCCTGGGAAGGACATCTTGTAGGTTGCATCCTCTAAGCTGCGTGAGACGCCCCTACGCAAATAACCCTGGTTTAAATCCACTACCTTCGCCTGTTAAGTTTAGCCTTTTGCAGTGGGGACTCCTTGGGTCAAGGTCGCTCTGCCGGTCTGACCCAGCCTCCCCCTGAGGGAAGGTGAGAGATCGGTGGCATCTGCCTAGGGGCTGGCAGGCCGGGCAAGTCAAGGTGCCCTGCTGCCCGCCCCCAGCTCCGCAGTGCGCCTTGCCGCCTACCTTGACAGGGTGCAGGTAGCCGTCGCCGCGCAGGGCGCCCAGTCCGGGATCCGCCGGAGCCTCGGCGTCATCCTGCAGGCTGCGGGTGAGGTGCGCGATGTAGGTGGTGGCCAGCAGCAGCACGTCCAGCTTGGACAGCTTGGTGTCGGGCGGAACGGATGGCAGCGTGCGCTGCAGCTCCAGAAAGGCGTGCCGTAGAGTCTGCACTCGGCTGCGCTCCCGGGCCCC